CTCAAGTGTCCTCAGGTCTCACCACACTTTGGACCAACCAGCCCTTCCTCTTCTCTCATCTCCAGGTCAACAGGAATCAATAAACTGTGGTTGAACTTAGCCTATTTATTCATGGCTGCCTTTCCCTCTGTTCTATTTACTAGTAGACCAGTGTGGTTGCCAGCAAGCTTATCTGCCTGCAGATGTGTTCCCTTTGAGTTTCAGTCTTAGAGGGGGGTTTGTCCCGAAGGGACTTGATTGCTTGCCTTGATGACTTCCAGGCAAACAACTTGCTTATTCTTATAATAGCCAATCACACTGCCATTTTTGTTTTGGGTTTTTCCTGATGATCTTTCTTTGAAGATGTATCTTCTGTCACTCTAGCTGTTCCAGACTGGTCTGCTTGTCCTTCCTAGTGGGAATGTCCCACCTCAGAAGGTTCTGGATGGGGTTCAGGATTCTACCTAAGGTCCTATACACTGCATAGGCTCCGCAAGAGGCTTATTTCACAGGACAAGTTCTAGAACCCCTTTTAGGTATTCCACTCCCCCCTTTTGTTACACAACTTCAGCCTTTACAGTTTTGACAATTGCAATTAGTCACGTTAACAATTTCTCACTATTGAATCAAAAGAATCCTATCTACATATCCTATCACCAGACCCATCTAGACAAGATGAAAACTATTCAGTGGGGACTCTGCACACTCCCCCCGCACACTCTGAAACTAAACTCCCTCTTGAAAACTTGTAAGCCAGCCACTTCGTGCCTTTATAGCTCCCCCTCCCCCCTCCATTTTAGGTAACCAATGTCTGAGTTGCCTGTCCCTATCAACCCTGTATACAGAGGGGATAGGCTCGATCTCAGTTGGTATTATGAGCTACTATATATTCTGGTGTGGCTCTGCGGATTAATGCGGTAAACTGCAAAGTCGGTTTGTCCCATTAAGGCCAGTAGTTCCAACTCACCAGCTGCTCCTCAGAAGCCCTGTACAGGAACTCTGTACAGGGTTGCTATGAGTTGGATCCTGACTCCATGGCACTTAGCAACAACAACAAATATCCATAAGTAAAGGTCAAGTTCATCAAATTGTAGCAATTTACATTTGCTTCCTGTATCAAATTTCTTTATTTTATCTTCCTGTAGTTGTGTTCTGATCATCAAGCCATCCAAGATAGGTCAAATAGGTACTGTTTGCAAGTTTCAGCATTTTTGGACGTGCCTTCCCTCCCCCCCCCACATATCAGCTGGACTCTTCATTCTCAGCTCTGGCCCCCAGTGGCTAGGTCAGTATACGTGGGCTCTGGAGTCCTCAAGTCTCCCCAGAGTTCTGACCAAACAGCCCTTCCTCTTTTTTCTTTCATCTCAAGGTCGACAGGAGTCTATGGAACATGGTTGAACTGAGCCCATGTCTTCATTACTGCCTTTCCCTCACTTCCACTCACAAGTAGACCAGTGCGGCTGGCCCCTGCGAGCTTACAAGCCTGCTGTGTGTTTCCTTTGAGTTTCAGTCTTGGAGGGGGATGTTGTTCTAAAGGGACCTGATTGCTTGCCTTGTAGCTCCCAGGTGAACAGCTTGCTTGTTCTTGCAGTAGCCAGTCTGATTTTTATTTATTATTTTTTTCCTGCTGGTCTTTATTTCAGTAAGTATCTTCTGTTCGTTCAGCTCCTCTAGGGTGGCCTGAATGTCCTTCAAGTGGGAATGTCCCACCTAAGAAGGAGAGGCTTAGGATTCCACCTAAGGCCCTATACTTTACATAGGCTCCGCAAGAGACCTGTTTCACTGGGCAAGTTCTGGAACCCCTTGTAGGTATTCCAATCAGTTATAGGCTAAAGATGGGCTTATTAGCTTTCTGTAATCATATTTCCCCATATTCCTTTCTATCCCACTCAGATGTCTATTTTACAATACTAGGCAGGGAACGCCAATATCCACAAGACAGTCAGGTACCTTAACATTATTTCCCCTCTTTTACCCATTCAGACTATGCCTTGATCTTATGTCATAGAGCCCTGTTGTTCCGAGGTCATCACACAGATCCAGAGGGGATAGGAGTCCACTGTGCCCTCCCTCCCTCAGATCCAAAGGACAGGGGTCCTGTGTGACCATCCTCACATGGATCCAGGGGGCCAGGAGATAGGATTGGTGCCTAAACTTTTTTAGGGCACGAGTCACCCGTACGAGCGCGGAGTCCCTGGGCTTGTGTCCTTGGGCCAGCTCCGCTGGTAAAGGGTGAATGCTCATATCTGTCTCCCTGATTTTTGCCCACAGCATGTTCCTCGACGACTTTCTTGCCACTGGGAAAGGCGAGCAGGCGCCGCAGCTGGAGTTTGAGCAGCTGCCCTTCAACCACCCACTCTTCATCATGTTCTCCTCGGGCACAACGGGCTCCCCCAAGTGCATGGTGCACTCAGCTGGGGTAGGTGTCCGGGTCGGCATTCGTATTGTGTGATGGCAGTCGTCCCTGTCATCAGACCACCTCTTACCCCTGGGGGTTCCAGCATGCAGCCCCCTTCATGTGGAGGTACCAGAGTGAGGGTCTCTAATGCAGGGCCGCTGAGAGTCGTTGAGCTGTGTGGCTCCTGCCATCATTTAAACAGTCTTAATCTGACTGATCGTGACCCTGTCAGGCAGGTAGAACTGTCCTGTAGGGTCTGCAAGACTCATCCTTTTGGGAGCAGATGGACGCATCTTTCTCCCATGGAGCCGCTGCAGCTTTCCAACTGTTGGCCTTTCGATGAACAGCTCCTTTCAGACAAGCTCAGGGGAGCTTGGAACCCACACAGAGCATACTGGCTTGACCAGGGATTTCCACACTGGGTGGGATGCTGCAGTGGATTCAATGTATGGGGCTTGAGCAGAATGAGCTGGAATGGGCAGGATCAGAAAACACCAGCACATGTGCAGTTGTAAGAGGTATGGGTATAAGGAAGTTTTGGTCATACGCTTGTTGGGGACAGCATTGTGGATCATACTCTGAGTGTGGGTTGTGTGAGAAGGTGTGATTGACTGAGGGAGACTTTAGCATGCCTGCTTCTCACCTACTGGTTCCATCAAGGCCTAACTTTATCTAGACGGGTCTGGTGAAAAGTAATAGGGGTAAGATTCTTATGATTCAATACTGAGTGAGTGTTAAGACTAATTGTGACTTTCACAATAGTATAGTAAAGGTAGAAGTTTTGTAATAAAAATGGTGGAGTAGTTAATCTTACAGTCCAGAAACAGAGGACCCTAGGACCTTCAAGGGAGAAGAGCATAAGCGGAATGCAGAACCCTATCCAGAGAAGCAGCGACACCAGAGATGGAGGCAGAGATGAGGACATGGAGAGAAGGAGCAGCTGAGGACTCTAGACTCATGGAAAGAGAAAGACTGAGGGCTGGTGGCCAGGAAGTGGGATTGCAAAATGTGCCCTTTAGTTGTTTAAATTATATATTCCTGGTGTTTTTATGTACATCTCCCTCCTCTCCCCTGCCTCCCCCCCAAAAAAGATGAATAGAGGGAATGGAAGCAACTATGTTGAATGATGATGTACAGGGGAGATTGTAATCAGTGCAATGAATCGATGATGTAAAGCCGATGTTCTCCCAATGTAAACTGTCACTCAGTTCACAACAACAAAAGTAATGATGGCACATAATAAAGTTAAAAGAATAGCTTCTAAAAAAGAAACAACCTAACTTTATTCCAACTCCTTATAAAATATTTTACTAGTAAGCATTCAGAGTCCTCGTATGGTACTGTAGGATAAGCTCTGAATGGCTAAGTACAAGGTCAGTGGTTCAAACCCATCAACTACTCCTCACAAACCCTACATGGGGTCACAGTGAGTTGAAACCGACTCGATGGCATTTAACAACAGCAAAGTAAGCATGCAGCTTGAGACTTACATAGTTCGGCCAGTACATTGTAGCGTTTTCATTTTGGAAACGTTTCAAACCTGGAGAGCCGCAGTGAGAACAATGTGCGGGCCCCTGCAGTGCCCTTTGGCTGCGTCAGCATTCGGACACTTGGCCTTCTCTTCCTGTGTGAGTACGCAGCCACCATTAGGGTGTCGTGTTGTGCTGAGTCCTTCCAGAGGGAATTGCAGGTACCATGACCCTTTTCCCTTGATGCTTCAGCATGTAGCTCCTGAGAAGAAACACGTTTTCTCACTGCACCACAATGTAATCCTCCAACTCAGGGAGTTAGGGTCGGCACAGTACCATCATTGAACACACAGTCCGTATTCAGCTGTGGCCAGTTTGGGGGCTGTCCTGGATGGCACCCCGTACCCTCAGTGTCCTATAATCTGAGGGGCTTCTCAGCCTTCCTGAATCTTCCTTCCCCGCCTTTGACAGTTGGGAAGTACACAGACCCAGAGCTTTGCAGATGGGCTCTTGTTTGAGTGAGGCTGACTTGGGATGAGATCCAGATGGTGAGTCCAGCCCTTGTGTCCTCCTCAGTCCCTTTCTGTCAGAAGGTACACCACGCCTACTTATCTCGTCACTGGGCTTCTGCCAGGTTTCGCCTCTGAAATGAAATTCCTGAGTGAATGCATCGTGTCTGAGACCCTCTATCACCTTGTACCTTGTCTGACACTGTTCTGCCCCAGGACTTGGAGGCAAGCTTTTTTCTCTCTGGTTTTGGCTTTAACAGACAAGGTTATTTTTGCACCCTCTAGTAGGCTAGTAGTATAGTGGTTACGAATCGGGCTGCTAACCTCAAGTTCCGCAGTTCGAAACTACCAGCTGTTCTGCAGGAGAAACATGAGGCTTTCTGCTCCCGTAAAGATTTGCAGCCCTGTAAACCCTGTGCGGGGTCACTATGAGTCAGAACCGACTCCACGGTACTTAACAATAACAAGTAGGCTAGTGGTCCACATGCAGGGTCCTGGCCTCCTTTGGAGATTCCTATGTGTCTCGTCATCAGTCTGGGAGGTTCTCCGCATAGGGACCCTGGGCCCAAAGGGTGCACTTCACTCTGCCTCTTCTTTCTTAGCAGTGTTCCACACCTGTGGGAGGCTCTGATTCTCACACTGCTCTGGGCTTTTCAAGTCCTCCCCATGTCTGATTTCCTAGCTTCCCTGGAAGCTTCTCCTTGAAGCAGGAGACAGGACGTTCCTGTGGGAAGGAGGAAAACTGCAGCGCCTTGGTCAGCCCCTATGATCGCTCTGTCTCCACACACTCAGAAGAAGGCCATAGTCCAGGCGGGGCAACCTCTTGTTCCCAATCAGCTTCCCAACTAATGCTCCATAAGATGGTGGGATTTGAGGATAAAACAGAATTTCTCTTATTCTACCTCATTTAGCTTTTGTAGTAGCTGTCTGTGCCCAGAAGCAGTTTAACTCCCCTCTCATAAAAAGGAAACATCTACATGTGAATCACTTTGAAGCCACACACAGCTCTTTACCGAGTGTTCTCTAGGGCGGCTAGAAGGTTAGAGAGCTTCATTACTGCATGGCTTGGATTCCCTGAGGATGGAGTAGCAGGCTATGAAATATACCAGCCACAGACAACACATCTGCTCAGACACAGTAGTGGGGGGCAGAAGGGACGAAGGAGAATGGATGTCGATGCTGTGCCCACTCTCCCCTGCTTGTCCGGCTATGTAGGGTCACTTCCTCTCAAGAGTTAAGGAAGTGGGGAGAGAGCCTCAACAGATGGGTGTTGGGCAGGTGCTCAGGGTCAGCAGCACCAGCATGGATCCTGAACATGCTGTGTTCTTCCAACTGATATCCCAGGACTCCCTCCCAGCCGTGTAGACACTGGCACAGCCTAGAGGGGCCCAAGGAGACACGCCAGCTACATGGAGTATGTCCTGGGACAGACACTGGGTGCACACTAAGGATATCTTGGGAAAGTACAGGCAGAAGTCATGGGTTTGGTTCCAGGCCACTAAATCCATTGAGGATCATAATCAATGTGTGAGTCACACACAATGTTTGACTTCCCTCTTGCTGTTGTTAGGTGCTGTTGAAGTGGTTCTGACTCATAGTGACCCTGTGCACAGCCGAACTAAACTCTGCCGTGTCCTGCACCCACCTCACAGTTGTTGTTACCTTTGAGCCCATTCCTCCTGCCGGTCCACGTCATTGGGGATTTTCGTCTTTTCTCTGACCAAATACGATGTCCTTCTCCAGGGACTGGTCCCTCCTGGTAACATGTCTGAAGTGTGAGAGAAGTCTCTCCGCGTGCCTTGAACTTTTGCAATTTCTCTGTTGTACGGTTACAGTAGCTTTTCAATGGTATTAATTATGTAGTTAGATGATTTCCCCACTTTGTTGGGTCACCTCTTTTTGGAATGGTCACAATTAAGGATCTCTTCCATTTGATTAGCCAGGTAGCTGTCTTCCAAATTTCTTGGCATAGGTTGAAAGGTTTAAATTTTTATTCCATTAATTTCTGGGTCCTTATTTTTTGCTACTGTGTTCAGTGCCCCTTGGACTTCTTCCTTCAGTAGCATCAGTTCGTGATCACATGCTCCTTGAAATGGTTGAACATGTATTATTTCTCTTTGGTACAGTGACTGTGTATTCCTTCCATTTTCTTTTGATGCTTTCTGCATCATTCATCAGTACTTCTGTCAATATTGTAAGCTGAGGTTTGGATTGGTTCCTTCAATTCTTTTAGCTTGAGAAATGCTGAGCATGTTCTCCCCTTTCAGCTTTCTAACTTCACGTCTTTGCACATTTCATTATATTTCACTTTGTTGTATCAATCTGCTCTTTGGAATTTTTCTCTTCATCTCTTTTACCTCCTTATTTCTTCCATTCATTTTAGCATCATTATGTTCAAGAACAAGCTTCAGAGTCTCATCTACCTTGGTGTTTTTTTTCTTTCCTGTCTTTTAAATGACCTTTTGCTTTCTTCCTGTATCATGTTCTTGATGTCATCTCACAGCTCTTCTGGTCTTTGGTCAGTAGTGTCTAATGTATCAGATCTCTTGTTGAGATTGGCCTCTATATTCAGGTTAGATTTGTTCAAGGTGATATTTTGATTCTCCTGGACTTGTTTTAATTTTCTTTAATATCCATTTGCATATGAGCAATTGATGGTCTCTTCCACAGTATTCCTCTGGCCTTGTTTTGCATGTTGGTACTGAGTTTTTCCACTGTCTCTTCCCTCAGATGTAGTCAGTTTGATTTCTGTGTATTCCATCTGGTGAGGTCCATGTTTATAGTTGCCTTTTATGTTTTTGAAAAAGGTATTTGCAATGAAGAAGTCGTTGGTTTTGCAAAACTCTTGTCAGATCATCTGCAGCATCATTTCTATCACCAAGGCCTTATTTTGCAACTGCTGACCCTTCCTGTTTGTTTCCAGCCTTTGCACTGTAATCACCAGTAACTATCAGTACTTCTTGATTGCATGCTTGGTCAATTTCACACTGACGAAGTTGGTAGAACTCTTTAGTTTCATCTTCACTGGCTTTAGTGGTTGATGTGTAAATGCGAATAATAGGGTATTAACTGGTCTACCTTGTAGGTATATGGATATTATCTTATTACAGACAGCATTGTACTTCAAGGTAGACATTGAAATATCCTTTTGATGATGAATGCTATACCATTCCTCTTGAATTTATCCTTTCCAGCATAGTAAACCATATGATTGTCTGATTCAAAACCAATACCGTTCCATCTCAGCTCTGTAATGCCTAGGATATATTTATGCGTTCCATTTAATTTTTGACAACTTCTGGTTTTGCTAGATTTATACTTCGTACCTTCCATGCTCCGATTATTAATGGATACTTGCTGTTGTTTCTCCTCATTGTGAGTTGTGCCTCACCAGCATCTGAAGGTCTCAAAAGCTTTACTCCCTTCATGTCATTATGATCAATTCTGTTCTCCTTTGAGAAGGCAGCTCTGCCCCTGTTGTGTTTCGAATGCCTTCCAACCTCAAGGGCTCATCTTCCAGCAGCGTACCTAACAATGTTTTGCTGCTGTTCATAAGGTTTCCAGTGGCTAACCACTCTTTCTTCCTAGTCCATCTTATTCTGGAAGCTCTACTGAAATCTGTCCCCCATGGGTGACCCTGATGGCATTTCAAATACTAGAGGCAGAGCGTCTAGCAGCACAGCACACTCAAGCCACCACAGTGGACAAACTGACAGATGGGCGGTAGGTTTGGCTTCCCAGCGTATAGAAGTTACCTGATGTTGTACCGTGTGTGAAGTGTACCATGGCATGATGAAAAAGTCTGCAGTAATGTAACCTGCCTGGGACACAGAGACATGAAGTGAGCACAGGCTGTTGTGCGAACAGGGCTGGTAGATTGGCTTGACGCAGGGCTGGCCCAAACTTTCCACTTGTAAAAACCTCAGTGTCTGTGAAGCACAATGAAGTGACAGTGTCTACTTGTATGGACTCGAGGTGATGCGAATATATCAGTGTCACAGGTACTATACGGTCTAAAGGTATGGGGCGTGGGGCACCGTTGTCCCAACTTTTCTTTCAGTCAAAAATGGTTCCAAAAAACCAACACATTTATAAACACACAAACACACATGCCCAGTTGGTGACTTATGAACAAACAGGGTGGAATGGGAGTTCAGGGGACCTCAGACTTTATTTCTGCTTTGAAAGTAACATTGCTCAAAACCCAGGTTACTTTTCAGTGGGAATGAAATGTCCTTGCAGCCCCCTCCGCCCCATTCATTCAGTCATGCCACGGCACGGTCACCCTCCTTACTGGGTGTCTCCACCCTCCTGCTCTGCTGAGGTGTGGCCCTGTTTACCATCCACAGAGCCAACAAGGGGCAGAACTTTCAGAGACAACAGGCAACATAGGAAAACCAGAAACATTTAACTACTTTTATTTTTAGTGTTTTTTTGCAAAGTGAATGCCCTAAAAATCCATTAGCTATAACATAGTTGGCTCATTGGTCTATTTAGGTTGTGGAAGATTCAAGGAAGTTGAGGTTTTGTTTTTCACTTGGTGAAGTATCAGTGAGTTAATTCTGACTCACAATGACCGCATGTGCCAAAGAAGAGCTGCCCCATAGGTTTCCTAGACTGTCGTCTTTTCAGAAGGAGCCCTGGCGCACAGTGGGTTAAATATCAGGCTGTTCATCAAAGGTCGATGGTTCAAATCCACTCGCTGCCCCTTGGGAGGAAGACGTGTCAGTTCACTTCTTTAAAGATTCACAGCTGTGGGAGCTATGTGGGCAGCTCTTTGTCTACCAAGGTCGCTTTGAGTCGGGACCCCCACTGAGTGACAGTGGATTTGGTGGTGCTGGTAATTTTTTTCTTTTTAAGTTTTTATTGTGAATGGAGTGATCGTTTGTATGGGAGAACTTTGGTTTTACCCTTATCCTATGGTATTTCATTTCACTGCAATGATTACAATCCCTTCCATGCATCATCATTCAACAGTATTTGCTTCTATTCTCTCTGTTTATTATTATTTTTTTGAATGGACACAGAAACACTCATGGATAGATAATCATTTAAACACCCAAAGGGCACATTCTGCAAGCCTGCCTCGTGGCTGCTGGGTGCTGGTAATCTTGACTGGGACACTTAGATCTCAGATCTAAGCAGTCTCTTGACAACCTCCTTGCAAAGATCCAGGTGAAGCCCGACCAGTGGAGGCCTTTGTGGTTCACTGGGTGGGCTGTGTGCCTGGTTTGTTCATTTATGGTTTGTTGTCTAGGGCCAGTCTCAGAAAATAGCTTCTTTTTTTTCTCTCTATAACTTAAAAAAAAAAAAAGTCTTCCTAGAGACACTGAACAGCTGCTGCACTCAAGGAACGTGTTGAGGCTCGGCCATGAGTATTTAAGGAAGAGGCTGAGGCTGTGGATATGAGAATAAGGTAAAGCCCTGTTTGTTTTACGCATTGGAGAGCATGCAGATACTGAACTCGTGAATCAAGGTGGCGTCAGAAACATGCCAGGCTTGAAGCATACGTAATGGATGAAGATACTGATTGTAAATTAAAAAGGGTTGTTGATGTTAAGTGCCGTCGAGTTGACTCCGACACATAGCAACCCTGTATAGGGTTTCCGAGGAGCAGCTGGTGAGCTTGAACCACCGAACTTGCAGCTCAAATGGCTTTGCAGTCTGGTGCATTAAACCCATAGTGCCGTACCAGGAAGGGAGGAGGGATTTATTATAGGCTTGTACACAAAAGTTTGTAGGAAGATTCTGTTGTCTTTTTTTTCAATGTTTTTATTGTGATTTGAGTGAAAGTTTACAGGGCAGATCATCAGTTTTACATTCAATAAATCATACACCTTGTTTCATTACAATGATTATAATCCCCTCCATGACACCATCGGATAACAGTATTTCTCTCTCTTCATTTTAGCTCTTTTTTTTGTTTGTTAAAACACTCAGGCGTATGTAATAATTTACACCACCAAAGGGCACATTCTTCTGCAAGTCTATCTCCTGGCCGCCAGCTCTTAGTCCTCCTCTTTCCTTGAATCTAGAGTCCTTAGTCGCTCCGTCTCTCCAAATCCCCATCTCTGTCTCTAGCTGTGGTGTCCCTGCTTCTCTGGATAGGGTCCTGCATTCCGCTTGTGCTCTTCTCCCTTGATGGTCCTAGGGTCTCCACTGTCTTTTAATTCCATTTCCTACCAGTCTACTGACGCTCCCTGTTCCGTGGGTTCACTTGGTAAATGTTGAGAGAGACCCTGGGAAGTGTTTTGTGCCCACGTTGTTCAACACTCACCCCAAGTGACTGCTCTGAGTGTTGTAGGACTTGCCTTGGACGTTGGTGACCGTGGGTTGGGTGAAGGCAGCCTATTTGTCCTGCAGGTGTCTGATGAGCTCCCTCATGTGCCAGGTGCTAGTTTTAGCTGGAAGCAGGGCCTGTGATGTCCCGTCAGAAGTGGGCCCCTGAGCTGGGGTTCCAACCTGGGACCAGTGACAGGTGACCTGTGCGCGTGTCCACAGTCTGACTTGCACTGTTGGGCACAGCCCTTGTCTGGGGGATGCATGTGGCCGCCCTGAGCCTGTTCTCCTGTCCTCTCATCTCAGTGATGTCATTTTCTGCCTGCCTCAGCTGTCTGGGAGGCAGAGCATTGGTTCTGAGGCAGCAGTGACGGAGTAACTGCCCGCCCTGTGCTTGGAAGGAGCTTCCTCCAGGGGGAGGTGGAGGCTCACTTCCTCTTCACTCTGGGTGGGCAGCATAGCTTTGTCCACCTTCGACAGTCAGCATCCTGTCTCATACTATGTCCCCTTCCCCTGCAGGGCACCCTGATCCAGCACCTGAAGGAGCACGTCCTGCACGGTAACATGGGCCACGGTGACATCATCCTGTACTACACCACGGTGAGCCTGCTGTACTGCCCTCCGCGCCCCCACAACCTCCCTCTTGGTGGGTCTGTACCTACCTTTTTTTTTTTTTTTTAAAAAAAAAAAAAGCTCTACTTGCCTATGGGAAAGCTCTCAGGCACTTAAGATGGGCTCCAGGGCAAGAGGCTGGTGCCTTCCAGGGCCCGGGCACCCTCTGTGGTCCTGCTTTAGGCATGTGCTGATGGAGACCTCCACAAGTCTTGGTGGTGGGTGGGTCAGATTTTTTCCATGACCAGCTTACAGCACATACTTGGTTGTGTTCGTTCCACCCCTGGACAGCAGCTGAGAGGTTGTCCACGTCAGCCTATGCCTCAGCCTTTTTCACAGCTGCACTGTGGCTGAGTTGGAGCGTGTGCTGAGCACCAGGTTTGGGCCTCAGTGTTGTATGGGGGTTAGCACATTGAATGCAGGAACAACAGGGAGTATCTGCACCATGTTGGGCCACATCCTCCCGTGGTGATGTCATTGAAGCCGTGCTAGACAGGCCGTCACCAGTCATGTAGTTGTCTGTGCTCCCACATGTGTAGCTTTGCAAGATCAAATCCCAGACGTGGCATTCCTACTTCCAAGTATCGTGCATTCTAAGGAGATGGTTCTTTTCTAGAGAAATGTGAGTGGCCCGGCCCTTGTCTTACCCTGCAATCCCTGTGCCCGTTCCAGGTCGGCTGGATGATGTGGAACTGGATGGTGTCTGCCCTCGCCACAGGTGCCTCTGTGGCCTTGTACGATGGCTCCCCGCTGATCCCCACGCCCAATGTGCTCTGGGACCTGGTGGACAGGATAGGGTAGGTACTGCTGCAACAAAACCGGCGTCACTGAGGGACCGTTACTGTCAGACCCAAAGCCCTGTGAGAAACCACGGGGTTGTCTTCGGGACACTTTGCCGTTCTCCCATGGACTCTTTACTCTAAACCGTCAGTAATGGGTTTCTGCTCTCGTGGCAAAGGAGACGGTTGTTCATGGAGGCAGTGGGCCACATAGTCCATTTCCAATAGGAGGACCATCGAGGCCCTCTAAAGGTACACAAAAGTGAAATAAAGGCTGAGCCTGCACCTGTCGTCAGGGAGCAGTGAAGGCCAGGTCAGAAATGGCAGGTGCAGTGTCTTTCCCTTGTTGACTGTCCACCCCTTTCTCCAGAGTCTGGGCAAGGCCCACCCCACTGCCTGCTCTTACTGTGTTGGGCTAGCACGCAGCCCCCAGCTTCCTTAACCTGTCAAACGATCTTTCCTTCCTTGGCTGAAGGGCAAATGGGGATCCCAGGGAGTAGAGGCAGAAGTCAGTGAAAATGCAAGTGCCCGGCACCTCCCCCAGTGCCAGGAGGTTCCAGTGGCCCCTCTCCCTCCCCCTGGCTCCTTGTTAGAGAATGTCAGACACCCAGCCTCAGTAGGGCTTTCTTTGCCAATGAATTAATCATCAGGACTTGAGTTTGATCACTGTGGTGGGTCATTCTGGCCTGCCAGGCCCTGAAGTGGCCTCCTTACTTGACATGTAATTCCACCATCCGTGGGGAGACAATAGGAAGCAGGAATGTTTTAAAATCCATAACCATTAATATTTAAATGTAACTGTGCTTGGCTCATGCCATATTTAAATTCTGCATTTGGCTCCCGGATACTCGAAGGGAAGGTTACTTCCTAATGAGATTGTTTCCACAGAAAGGTTAATAAAGTCTCTGGGAACGGCAATGGTGTGAAGATCTGTACTCTGAATTCCATTATGCCAGGCTCCAGTCTTTCTTGTGAGCAGAAAACGGGCATCATTGGGGCTCAGTGTTCATGAGGTGACAGGATGGAGGACACAAGGAGTGTGTGTGCGTGTGTGTAGGTTAGGGTGTGTGAGTACCATGTACATGTGGCTCTGTACGTGCATGTGTACACATGATAACATGCATGTTTGTGAGGTGTATATGTGAGTATATAAGTTAGGGTGTGAGTTCCTTGTACATGTGGCTGTGTGTCCATATGTACACATGATAACATGCATGCTTGTGAGGCATATGTGTGAATGTGTGTAGATTAGTGTGTATGAATGTGTACTGTGTACATGTGGCTGTGTGCGTGCATATGTACACGTAGTAACATGCATGTTTGTGAGGTGTGTTGTGAATGTGACTGTGTATAGGTTAGGGTGTATGAATGAGTAGTACATGCGTGTGGTTATGTGTGTTGTGTTTTTGTGTATATGGAATAATATGTGAGCGTGCGTATGAGAGTGAGTATGTGTATAAATTAGGGTGTATGAGTGAGCAGGCACATAACAATGAGTGAGCCGTAGGTGTGTGTGGTTGTGTGTGTATGTGTGCTGTGTACACATGGTACCATGCTTGAGTGTGTTGTATGTATGAATGTGAGTGTGTGTCTAGGTTAGGGTATATGAGTGAGGGGTGTGTGTATGTAGTTATGTATGTGTGTGAGCATGTACGCATGGTAACGTGCTGAGGTGAGACTCCTTGGACAAATTGCCAGGTTAAAGCCCTCATTGTGACTGCCAGGGACAGTTAACGGAGTCATCGGGTGCAGGGTCCCCTTGCCGCCCATCCTGTGGGGAGTGACTGAATGGTAAATCAAATGCCGTCTCTCCAGTGCTATTGTTTGTGGCGAGAGGAGCGACTTCAGACTTGGTGGGACTGGTCATCCTCAAAATACCCTGCCTGTGCCTCATAAATTCAGGAATGAAATCTTTATTGGCAGTGGTTGTAGTACCAGCTCATAGATCTATTAACATGCTTGATAGTGGAACCTCTGAGTTTTTGACAAGATGATTTTTCTTCTCCATTGAGGTGGGCCATGAGCACTATTGGAATATTGTGGACAGGGTTAGGGCCAAAATTTTTCTAGGTTTAGCATGTACTTAGGCAAGCATCAATGCATGAGTTGACTCATGTTGCAAGTGGGTGTGTTTAGTAGGTTGATTCTAGGTGTCAGACGTCATCCTTAAGGATGAGCAGACTCAGTTTTCAAAAGAAGAGAATCGGTTGAAGGAAAGACGGGGAAGGCCTTGGCACCATCACATCATAATGGCTTATGTTTACTGTAGCGTTCTCTGAGTTTAAAGGTCAGCATGGTGGTGTTGGGTGGTGTTGAGTTGGTTCTAACTGAGAGCAACCACCTGTACAGCAGAGTGAAACACTGCTTGGTCCTGCCCCAGCCTCACTGTCCTTCTCGGTTCCTGCCCGTGGTTCCAGCCCATGCGAATTCAGGGAAAAATGACACTAAATTCTAAATGTGTACCGAGAACCACCGTTTTCTAAGTTTCATGAACTGTCAACTTGTTTGAGGAAAGAGGCTGGGCTGAGAAGTTGGTGTCACGCACCTGTTAAAAGTGGGCATATGAGGTGAGGGGTCCATGGTCCCCGAGATGAATACAGTCTAGGGAAGGCCATTGGCTTGTGTGCAGATGATGGTTTTCAGTGGACCAGATGCCCAGGAGAGCTGGTCCTCTGCTGGAGATTCAGGGAGGACCTGTTCATCAGAGTCAGCACGGTGCCCCGGCTCACTCACAAGTCCCCCTAGAAAGCGAGGTGGCCTGGTGTATGCAAACCCGTCAGAAAGAATTCACTAACCTTAGAAAGCTTTGACGTGTGTCACCTTTCAGAGCCCTAAAAAGTGTCTTGTTCTTTCCTTCCTGCCGCCCCTTTTGCTGTTAGCATCACTATCCTGGGAACTGGAGCCAAGTGGCTGTCCGTGCTCGAAGACAGAAACATGAAACCAGGTAATTACGCCTCTGAATCTGCTTGTGACTTGAATAGCAAGCCAAGGTCTTAAACCCATTGTAGTGGGGGCATTTCCTGCATGCAGGCAGGGCATAAGGCCCTGAATTTAGTTTTAATCTTTGGGCAATTCTGCCTTCTAGTGGAAACTCACAACCTCCAGACGCTTCACACAATTCTGTCTACGGGCTCCCCGCTGAAAGCCCAGAGCTACGAGTATGTCTACAAGTACATCAAGAGTAGCGTGCTACTTGGCTCCATCTCAGGTACGCCCCCGCGAGTGGTGGAAGGGTCTGTGGGACCAGAGGCTATGGGACCCATGGGCTCCCTGTCACTGCTCCTGTGCCAACTGCCACATCCACTTGTTGAGCTTTGTTCCCAGTAAACGATCTGAAGTGGTACGAATGGGTGTCTCAGGACAGGGACGGCCACACAGGTTGTAGTAGTGAGAAACCAGACACCGAGCGCCATGGCAACACCCAATCTCCCACTGAATCAATTCCAGCCCTACCATGCGTTTCCAAGACCACGTCTTCGCAGGAGTACATGGCGTCATCTTTTTAATGCCGAGTGGCTTGCATTTAGCAGTCCAGCGTCCAACCCCCAGCACCACCAGGCTCCACTAATTGAGAAGTTGCAGTCATAGAGGCAACATTGGAAGTGGTCAGCTGTCTATGCCAAGAAATTTGGAAGACAGCTACGTGGCCAGCCAACTGGGAGAGATCCATATGTGTGCCCAATCCAAAGAGAGGAGAGCCAGCAAAATGAAGTTATCAGACCATTTCATGAATGTTACATTTGTGTAAAATTTTGCTTAAGATTTAAAAAAATGATTGCAAGAGAACATCGACATAATTGCCAGAAATTTAAGCCGGATTCAGAAGAGGCCGTGGAACGAAGGATATCATTGCTGACGTCCGACAGATCTTGGCTGAAAGCAGAAAATACCAGAAAAATGTTTACATGTGCTTTATTGACTATGCAAAGGCTTTCATTGTGTGGATCATGACAAGCTATGGACAGCACTTAATTGTGCTCCTGAGAAACCTGTACATAGACCAAGAGGCAGTTGTTTGAATAAAACAAGGGAACACCAAGTGGTTTAAAATTTAGAAAGGTGTGTGACAAATTGCATTATTTCACTATATTTATTCAATCTATATGCTGAGCAAATTATCTGAGAAGAAAAATGTGGCATCAGGGTTGAAGAAAGACTCATTAACAACCTGTGTTATGCAAATGATACAGCCTTACTTACTGAAAGCAAAGAGGACTTAAAATAGTCAGTGATGAAGATCAAAGACCATAACTTTATTTAAAAATTTTTTTTATTGTGAACTGAGTGATAGTTTACATGGGAGAACATTAGCTTTATACCATTGTTTCATTGCAATGATTATAATCTCTTCCATGCATCATCATTCAACAGTATTTGCTTCCATTCCCTCTGTTTTCTTTTTTTGGGGGTAGGGTGGGGGACTGTGGGGAGATGTACACAAACATACTGAGGAATATGTAATTTAAACAGTCATAGGGTACATTTTGCAAGCATGCCTCCTGGCCACTAGCACCCAGTCCCTCTCTTTCCATGAGTCTAGAGTCCTCAGCTGCTCCCTCTCCCCATGTTCCCATCTCTGCCTCCATCTCTGGTTTTGCTGCTTCTCTGGATAGTCAATAAAGCACATGTAAACATTTTTCTGGATAAGGTCCTGCATTCCGCTTGTGCTCTTCTCCCTTGATGGTCCTAGGGTCCTCTGCTTCTGGACTGTAAGATTAACTACTTCCACGTTTTTGTTATAAAACTTCTACGTTTACTATTGTGACAGTTG